TATGTCGTGTACCTGTACAAGGTGATGAAGAGGCGAGCCACGACCATCCGCCAGCGCCTGTTCGCCATTCGATATGCCCACACCCTGGCCGGGTTTGGGGATGTGACCTCCGATCGGCGCCGGCTCTGGACCACGATCGAGGGACTCCGCCGCTGGGACGGAAAGGCGAAACGGAAGCTGCCGGCCACGCCCCGGATGTTGCGCTGGCTCCGAGAGTACTTGTTCGCCCACGGGACGGCCACGCGCCGGGAGGCGACCATCCTATGGGCGGCGCTTATGACGGGGTACTTTTTCATGCTCCGCGCGTCGGAGTATTTGGTCCAAGAGGACCGCTCCTGGAGTATGGGACGGGTGGTGCGTGGGCAGGACGTACAGGGGATGCGCGGAGGTACACCCAGCGCAAGGCTCAGCGACTGCGATGAGGTAGTACTGACGATCACGTCGTCCAAGACGGACCCGTTTAACGCAGGTTGCGTACGCAACCATTACCGTTCGGGGGTGCAGTTGTGTGTCGTGTACGCACTCGCCGACCTCCAGAGGGAGCTGCCGGACCGGTTTGGACGAGGAACCGAGGCGGGGCTCCCCCTGTTCCGCCGGCCCGATGGCCACCCGATTATGCGGGAGGAGGTGCAGGGGCTCCTCCAACTCGCGGCTGCCGCCTGCGGCGTGGACGCAGGCCAGATGGGATCCCACTCCCTGCGCATCGGGGGCGCGACGGCGTTGTACCACGCCTGTCGCGACCTGGAAGCGGTCAAGAGGTTCGGGAGGTGGTCCACGGACGCCTTCCACGGATACCTCTGGGAGGACCATCGGCGTCAGGCTCCATTCGCCCGAGGCATGGCGGAGGGCCACGCCTTATTGGCCCCGGACGCCCGCGGTGACGACGGCGCCGCGGCCGGCGCCCGCCCCGACCAGTTGGCCGGGAGCGACCCGCCCCAGTTTGGGAGCGATCTGAGGCCCTCGGAACGCCCGGCCTGGGCGCCCGGGCGCCCCCCCTGGGCGCGCCCTTCGGCGCGAGCAGGGTCAACTACGGAGGGGGAAGGAGAGGAGGAATTGGTGAGACACGAGCCAGGGCGAGGAGTTAATGGGCGTGTGGGAAAGCAGCAGGCGGGTCCCACGGGTATTCAGGTCAGGGCGGGGGCTTCGCGTTGTGGGGGTATCCCGGTGGACCTCTCGCCCTCGACCCTCCTTTCGCTACCGCTCCCGATCGCCCCAGGCACGCCCACCTCCTCTTGGTCCTCTCATCCGCAGCCATCTCCCGCTCCAGAGCGAGGCGCGCGAGCAGCGCGCGCACCCCAGCCCCGCGCGCCAGCCGCGCCGTCGCCCCGCGCTCCGGCAGCGTGCATCATGGGATTCCTGGTGGGCCTGGTGGCCCCGGACCAGAGCAAGGCGCGTGGCCATGACTACAGCATCATGGCGGTGAACCCCCTCGGCGTCGTCGTCTCGGGGGCCGCGCTGTCGGACGAGCTCCGGAGTGCCGCCCACAACATCCTGTACACGGTGGTGAACGAGCTGGACAGCGAGGACCTCGTCGAGGTGGTCAACCACGACCACGAAGCAGCCCCGTGCATCGCGGCGGCTTGCTTGGCCGCGGGGGCGAGCGAGGACCACGGCCAGCTGGTGATCGTCGACAGCAAGCGGGGTGCGTGGGGGGTGGGCGCGGGGCCGAATATCAAGGTCCAGCGCCAGGCGGCCAAGCTGGCGCTCGCCTTGGCCCAGTTCCAGGGGCAGCCCATGCCGGAGCTCCGCGAGCTCTGCAAGCACAACAAGGGGCTGCTCGACATGATGCGCACAGTGGACGCGGAGGCGGTCGTGGAGCTCACCGACGACGACGCCTCGAGCAGGGGCGAGGGGAAGTCGACCCCAGCCCCGGTCCTCGAGGCGGGAGAGGACGCGGTCACCGCGGCGCTGGCGCGCGCGGCCATCCAGGCTGCCGCGCGGCGCCAGAGCAAAGGCGCTCCAAAGGCGCGCCCGCGGCCCGCGCGGTCGCCGGGCCAGGAGCGCCTCGCCGAAGAGGTCCGCAAGCGCGAGAGGCGCCCTGCGCCCTTGCGCTCGCCCTCGCGCGCGAGGCGCCGCGATCGCGAGCGCGATGCGCCTCGCGATCGCGGGCGCAGGGGACAGGAGGAGGAGGCCGTCTTGAAACCCAAGACGGGCGGCGCCCCCCCGAAGGCCGACATCGTGAAGCGTGAGGCCGTCCTGAAGCCCAAGAGCGGGGGGGCGCCGCCGCGGTCCTTCGAGGTGAAGACCGAGGTGGAGGAGGCGCCAGGCGCGGGGGACGGTCCGCCCCAGCGCCAGCCGCGCTCGAGGAGCCGCCGTAGGCGCAAGGAGGAGCAGCGCCAGGGCGCCCAGCAGCAGCCCAGTGACCAGCACGACGAGGGCGAGTCCATCATCCGCATCGAGCGGGTACCGCACCACGTCGATGCCGAGGTGGTCAGGCAGGTGGTCGTGCCCTTCGGGGTCGTCAAACACATCGCCTTCCTGTACGACCACCGCCACAAGCGGGAGCCGTGCGTGCTGGTGGAGTTCCAGCGCCGCGCTGACGCAAAGCGCGCGCGGGAGTGCATGAGGTCGAACTATCGGTTCTACAAGACGGACCCGTGCACGGTGGTCACGGAGTGGGCGAGCCGGCCTCGCGGCCCTGACCCAGGCAGCGACGGGGAGGATGGCCCGACCATCCAGCCGCCTGCCTGCCCGACGTGCGCACTCAAGATGCGCTGGAGCTCCTTTGACCCGGGAGACGGTTGGGGTTGCGAGATGTGCCCCGCGGGCGGAGCTAACAGCGGAGCCCTGCGGTGGCACTGTAAGGGGTGCGACGTGAGCTACTGCGAGGCTTGCCGCGTCGCCTTCGGCAAACCCAAGACGGTGGTGGAGAAGGCCCGGCGGAGCGGCCACACCGTGCGGGAGGCGCCGGGCCCCAGTGTCGGCCATGGCGAGCGCCCCAGCACGGGTGCCACGGGTGCGGGGGCTGAGGGGGACCGCCCGCCGGGCGACCTCAGCTGGCCCAAGCGTGAGAGGTCGCCCAGCCGCCACCGGCCCAAGCGCGAGAGGTCGCCCAGCCACAGTCTGGCGCGGGACCCAGCGTGGGCGTGGCGCGGCGACACCCCGCCCGGCCGCACGCGGCGTAAGACCGGGAAGCACGCTGGACAGCTTCGCGCTCCTCGCGGCGGCTGGTACGAGCAGGAGAAAAAGCGGCGGCGTGCTGCCGCCGCGGAGGCTGCCGCGGGCGGGGGTGGGATCCCAGCCTGGCGTGGCAAGGGCGCGGGCGACAAGGGCGGCAAGGGCGGCAAGGTCAAGGGCAAGTACTCCGGCAAGGCCGCCAAGGGCTCCAAGAGCGGCGGCAAGGGCGACAAGAGCGGCAAGGGCGGCCACTCCAAGGGCGACCAGGGCAGCCGCGGCCGGAGTGAGCGTGACTGGCCCAGCGCGGACGGTCGCGCGTCGAGGGGCGGCGATGGCGGCAGCCCCCGGGACCCCAGTGAGCGCGGCGGAGACCGCAGCGGAGACGAGAGCCGCGACCGCCGGGGGAACACGCCCTCCATCTAGGCGTGGAGCTCCCCCCCGTACCCCGACGCCAGCGCCCGCGGCATCGCGGGCGCGGGCTGAAGGCGGCGGCCTGTGAGTGAGTCGGCCCTCCTCTCAGCCTACCGTGCGCAGGTGGCGCCTGCGATCCTTGAGCCTACGGTGCGCAGGTGGCGCCTGCGATCTTGTTTCTTTTAGCCTACGGTACGCAGGTGGCGCCTGCGATCTTCTTTCTTTTAGCCTACGGTACGCAGGTGGCGCCTGCGATCCTCCCTCTTGGAGGAGTTTAACGTTGCGCGCACGTCGCGTGCTTCCTGGACCCGGCCGTGCGGCGCGTCTTGCGCGCCGTGCGGTCGGGGCCACACTTGCGCTCTGCGCCCGGCGCCTCGTGCGCCGCCACCCTTTTCGGTTCTTTTGCGCGCGTCGCGCACGCGCCGCGCCCGCGCTCTGGGTGCGCGGGCGCGGAAGGCCTCAAGGTTGCAGGCAAGTGGCCGCGCGCGCGAGGCTCTTGCAGCCTCTGATCCCGCCCTCGCACTCGGGCGGGGCGCCCCCGCGCGCGCGGCTGCGTCTTTCTTTTCTCATGGCCGAGCGGCCGCAGGCGTGCCAGAGCGCGAGCGCGCGGGCCGTCAGGGCCCACGCGCTCGCGTTGAGCGTGGGGCCACCAGGGCCCACGCTCGGCGGAGATGCGCGTCGCCACGCTGCCATGAAAATACCATCGCCCTGTCCTGGTCCCTCTCTCGTCCCCTCCTCTCCTCCTCCTCCTCCGTTGAGTGCACGCGTATCTCACTTAACTTGTATAGTCTGATTGGTTGTAGACTGCAGGTTAAGTGGGAGGGGGTGTGGGCTCAGGTAGCCATTTTGGGTCCGTAGCGTTCGGCTCTGGCCGACGCGCGGGTGCCCACCCACCCCGCTTTGCTCCCAGACGCCTGCGTCGGCCGAGCGGCCGCAGGCGTGCCAGAGCGCGAGCGCGCGGGCCGTCAGGGCCCACGCGCTCGCGTTGAGCGTGGGGCCACCAGGGCCCACGCTCGGCGGAGATGCGCGTCGCCACGCTGCCATGAAAATACCATCGCCCTGTCCTGGTCCCTCTCTCGTCCCCTCCTCTCCTCCTCCTCCTCCGTTGAGTGCACGCGTATCTCACTTAACTGGTTATTGGGTATCCGCGCGTCGCCTTCTTCGCCGCATCTCTCGCGACTGCGATGTTGGTGCTCCCTGTGCCGATGGGGGCCCCGGTCATCGCGCCCCGCGCGTTTCCGCGGGTTTCATCGGCGTGTCGCTTCGCCGCGCGAGAGTGCGCTGAGCGGCGCCCGACGCACGCGCGCGCGCGTTCACGCTTGCATTCTACAGCATTGAATGGCGGAGGTAATTCGGGGGCGCGGCGCGCGGCTCGCGCGCCTTCTACTAGTCCACGCGCCCATCTTCCGCGGGGTCTCCGGTGTTTCGGCGCGGAAAGCGAGAAGCGCGGAGTCGGCGGGCGCGCGGCGCAGGCGTCGCCCTGCGGGGCCAGTCGCTTGAAATTTCAGTCCACGCCCTTCAAGGCAAGGCGGCGGATTGCACGCGCCCAGCGCGCGCGCTGAGAGACCCGGCCACTTTGGCAGGCGAGTGGGCGGGCCGTGGCGGCCATGGAGGCGACGCGCAGGTCCTCGCTGAGGCGCGCGCAGACATGGCGGAGGAATCGCGACGCTGCGCGCGCGAGCTCGCAAGTGCGGGGCCCCTGTGGCAGGCAAGGCGTCGAATGGATTCGGCGTGGGCCAGTGCGTCGGCCGCGCTCCAGCCCTTGGTCGCACGCGCGCGCGCGGCGGCATCGGGCCCGCGCGCCGATGGCGCGCGCAGGCAGCTGGCGAGCGTGAGCACCAGTCGAACGTGGCCTTCCTAAGCGCTGGGGCAGCGCCAGTTGACGCGCGCAGAATCCGGGACGGAACGCTCGTCACGGCGATTCCCTGCGCGCGCGCGGAATGCGCTCGCGGCCGTCGGCGCGCCCCAGGAGCCATTCCGAAAGCTCCCCAGCGTCGACGTGAATGTGATCGTAAAGGAAGACATCGATCAACTCAGACAAGACGCCGAATTCACTGGAGCACTGGCGCAGCGCGCGCGGATAGGGCGCCGACCGCGGCTGGCCCGCGTCGCCCCAGCACAGGAGGAAGCCGACCATCTCCGGGCAGATTTCCTCCGATAGCGCGAACGCCAACCGCGCGAGTCAGTGCCGCGCTGCCGTTTCGCCGCGAATCAGCCTTGACGATTTGAGAAACGATTTGGTTTGATTGCGATGGCAATCTTGGCCAGCCGCAGCCGCGGCTGGCTGCGACCCATGCTTCGCATGCTGACCGCGTCTCGCCGCTCATGGTTGTGCTTCGCGCGGCTCTCGCGACTGCGCCTGCCAGTGCCGCCGCGGCGCAGACGGCGCCCATCCTGCGCGCGGGGCTGCCGCTCGGTTCGCGGCGGGCCATGGGTTCGCAGTGGGTTCTCGCATTGGCGTCTGCGTTGCTTGCAGGTTCCGCTGCAGTGCCACCGACGCCGCAAAGCGACTGGCAGGTCCACCCGCGCCGTCGCCGTTAGCGCGCTCTGCAGCGGTGATCGCGACGCGAGAAGCGGCGCGGGCAAGCGGGGCGCGCGCCGCGAGGGGGCGCGCCCGGTAGTCGCGTCGTGGCCAGGCCGAAGATGCGTTTCAGAAATCATGCGGCGGGGCTTGCGCGCAGGAGCTAAGACGGCTTCAAAGAAGGCCTCGAGGGCGCACTGCCTGCCGATCCGAGTGCTTCGAGGCGTTCGAAGCACTGGCGGGCGCCAGCCCGGTCCACCAACGCGTGCTCGCGCAGTCCTGGCGCGCCCGCCGCGGCGGCTGCAGGCCGTCGCGCCGACTGCAGTAGACGTCAATGACGCGCTGGTTGCTTTGGCCACGCAGTCGCTTCTCCAGGCGGCCAGCAGTTGTCGGGCGCTTCGGAGCGACGCGGGGCTGCGGCTACGCCCCGAAGCGCAGGCGCGGCGCGCCACTCAGCATGCAGGGCTGAAGTTGGCAGCGAGCCGCCGCGCGTCTGGCTCGAGCCCGTCGCCTGGAAGCGGTCGGCTGCGCGTGCGCGGTTCATGTTTCCGCGCCGCTCGCGGCGCGGCGAATCTTCGTCGCAGATACGGCGTGCGCCACCCCGGCCAGGTGTCGCCTGAAAGAAGCAATGGCGAACAGGTGCCGCGCATGTCCCTTCCCCGGCCGGCCTGGCCGTCGGCGCACGTTCCAGCGCCCCGCAGCGGAGGTGCAACTACGGTCGCGAGGCTTGCAGGCGCTCTCGCCCCTGCACGCAAGCCTCGCCGCGAGGGAACTGGCGCGTCGCTGCGCAGGCGACGTACGAGGGCGTGAACGCAGCGGCGACGACTCCGAGACAGAGCTCCCCTGCCGTCCGCCCTGCCCTCTTGTCCGCTCGCCCATCTGCGCTCGCTGGCGCGTCCATCGCCCTTGCGCGCAGCGCGCGCAGGCGCACGTGATGGGGTCAAATCAGTTCATTGTGCGGATGTGCTGGGCAGTGGCGGGGGCGCGGGCCGCGCGGCGCATCGGCTGCGGGCTGGGTGCAAGAGTTGGCGGCTTGCAGGCATTTTCGTCAGAGGGCAAGCCATTTGCGCGTTGCAGAATATTGCGCCAGGCGCATCGAAATAGCCGCGGCGTCGCCTCGTCCGCGATCGCGTCGGCTGCTGCGCAGTCTGTGTGTTCCCGGTGCCGGCCGTCTCTGCGCGACGCGGCATGGGCGCGCGCCAGCGCGAGTGGTGCGAACTCGGCAGTATAATGTTTATGCCAAGACGCTGTCGGGATCCACTCAGATTTGGGAATCAGTGAAAGCGGGCTGCCCGATTGCAGCGTCGGCCTCGGGCGACGGCGCGCTTGGGCGACGTCCGAGCCGACTCGGCGGCAGCGACGAGATCTTGCATGATCCACGGGGGCCCGGCGATCGCTTCGTGAACGATAGTTTCATGAGCTCTGCGCGTTTTTTCTGTTCTGCCAGCGCAGAAATCACTGCGAGGTGGGCCCGGCGCCAGGTGGGTTGCACGCGGAAAGACTGCGTGCTTGGAGCGCGCGAAGTTGGTTGTCGCCCGCGGAGCACCGTGCCCAGGGACGAAATAGCGCGCGCAATCGCGTGCGCGCGGGAGCCCTTCAGTTTTTTCATGTTTCTGTAGTTTTCGACGAAAAAGCGAGCAGGGAGCTGTTCGGGCGCACCACTATCCAGGGTGGACGCCCCCCACAGTAAATCCCAGGCTTGGCCCCCGCCATTGTTCGCCCAGTCGAAAGCGTGCCGAAGCTTGGGACAGGGGTCGACAGATCCCCTGTCATGAGGAGAGTCGAGCAGAGAAGCGTGGATGAATGGGTGGCGCGGAATAGTACAGAGGGGAGGGGAGGATCGGATAATGGGGCACAGTCGGGTAGGATGGGGTAAGGTAGGGTACAGTAGAGTGCAGCATGGTAGAGAAAAGTCGATGGCATGGGGTCGGGTAAGACAGAGTAGAGTAGAAATGGGCGCGGCGAGGATGAGGCATGCGCTGCGCTCGCGCCGCGCTGCCATCTACATTCGCCAATTGCGTGGCCGTCGCGGGCGAGGTCAATATTTCTCCCGCTCGCGCGGCCCCGCTGCCGCAGTCGCACCCGAGGGTGCCCGCGCTTTTTTGACAGATGGGCGCGGCCCCCCCTGCGCCGCCCAGCCTGGCGGCGCCACTCTGAGCCTGCGCGCGGAGCGCCAGGGATGCAAGTGCCCCCGACAGCGGGAGAGCGGGGCGAAAGCGCGCGCGCCGTCCGCGACGGCAGGGCGCAAGCGCCGATGCCTGCAGGGCGCCAGCGACGACGCCTGCGCCCCGCGCGACCCCGAGGCGCGCCGCGATGCAAGCAGAAAGGCGAGCGGCGAAAGCGCGCGCGCCGCGCGCCCAGGCCCCGCGCGCTCGAGCCCTTCTCGCGGGGCCGCGCACGGGAGAGCGCGCGCCGTCGCCCCGTGCGCGCGCGAGCCTTGCTCGCGGGGCCGCGCGCTGCAACGCGCGCGCGCGAGGCGCTCCGCGAGCGCGAGCCCCGGGCGCGGGGCCGCGTGGCTCGGGGCAGCGAGGGCGGCCCGCATGCGCCCGCGCGCAGCGCAGCTTCGGCCAGTAGGATGCCCTCCCTCCACGGGCATGGTTGCGATGGGCCGGCCAGGTGGCCGAGTGAGAGACAAAAGAGTGGAGTTCGAGTAGAGTAGAGTAGAGCTGGTGGTGTAGGGCAGCGTTAAGAAGAGTCGTACAATGCAGGGTTGAGTAAAAAATAGCAGAGCGGAGTAGAGTTGGGTCGAGGATCGGGGCCGGTCGGGGGGGCGCGCGGCGCGGGGAGCGCTGCGGGCGCACGTGCCGAGCGAAGGTTTGGAAGGAGATGCGGCGCCCAGCTGGCGACGCCTGGTCCGAGGGACAGGGCGGCCCTGGCCGCGGCCTCTCGCAGCTCCCCGACGGCCCTTGGCGAAGACAGCGAGTGCTTGCGCGACAACCTGCGCAGCGCGAGCGCCGGGCCGCCCAAGGACTGGCGCGCGGCCGCGGACGCGGCGATCCTTCGAGCGCGCCAGAGAACGGACGGATGCCCTGACAAAGTATATGGGCCGCGCCGGCTTCTGCGAGATTGCCCTTCCCTCGCCCGCGGGTCAGCTGGGCGCCGCTCGGTGGCCGCGGGCGGGGGGGCGCCGCGCGCAGGGCGAGCGGTGGTCTTTGGAGAATGCCATTATCGACCCCCCCCAAGGCGATGAGCGAGTCCACTCGCTGCGCCACTTTGGCACAAATGCCTTTTCGCGTTTTCTAGAGAGGGGGGGGGTGTCTACCCCCCGTGGGCCCGCTGCGACGTCGAGGGGTTGAAGTGCGGATGCCCGCCCTGCCCTTCCCCCCTAGGCAAGGCGCGCCGCGCCGTCGCCGGCCCTTCGTCGCGAGCGGAGTCGGCAGCATCTCCCCCAGAGCTGCCGCCCGCTTGGGCCTTGGCTTCTGTTTGTCGCCAGCGTAGCTGGATGGGTTATCCTAGCGGCCCTGCAGCCCGCTGCCTGAGATGGTCGCGAGTATACCTGCGCGTCGAGGCGGGCGACGTTGGGCGTCCGGGCATTCGATCGCACCCGCGGAGCGCAAGACACTTACCTGGCAAGCCTCGCGACGCCGCCCACCCTGCGCGATGCCGCGCCATCATGGGCGCCGACAGGGAGGGGGAAGCATCGCCCCCTGATCGCGGCCTGCGCGCCCCAGCGGGCACGGGGTCATAAGCTTCTGCAGTCGGGGGCTCATCGGCGATGCGTCGCCGATCCCCCACCTTCTCCATCAGCCCCCCTCGCGCTAGGCGTCGAGGGGCAGGCGGCGGCGCGCGGCGGGCGAGCTGTCGCAGGCATCCAGGAGCAGCGCATGCGTTGCAGCCTACAGCGCCCGAGTAATTTGGTTATTGGGTCTCCGCGCGTCGCCTTCCTCGCCGCATCTCTCGCGACTGCGATGTTGGTGCTCCCTGTGCCGATGGGGGCACCAGTCATCGCGCCCCGCGCGTTTCCGCGGGTTTCATCGGCGTGTCGCTTCGCCGCGCGAGGGTGCGTTGAGCAGCGCTCGACGCGCGCGCGCGCGTTCACGCTTGCATTCTACAGCATTGAATGGCGGAGGTAATTCGAGGGCGCGGCGCGCGGCTCGCGCGCC